CTGTTGAGGAAGTTCTGAAGGCGATCCAGAGTCTGAGACCAGGAAAGGCACTGGGCAGAGATGATCTCCCAAGCGAAATGCTGAGGGAGGGTGGCATTTGTGCACAGACTGCCCTATATGACATCATAACAACAGTCTGAACCACTGGATGGATTCCGCAGGATTGGAGGATGCCCTGGTGGTAATTGCTGCTCACTCAGAGGAGGAGTTGGAGGTGCTGCTGCTGGACCTGGAGCTTGCCACTAAGAGGTGGAGCCTTACCATTAGCCCCACCAAAACTAAGCACCTGCCTGGGTATTTTGTACCATCGGACACTCCACCCCCACAACTCCCAATTGGTGATAGGGCAGTTGTGGAGAGAGTGGAGAGTTTCCCATACCTGGGCAGTGTGCTCATGATCGGCTCCGGTTTAACAGCAGAGGTCTCACTCCAAATCAGTCGAGCGGCATTATCTTTTCATCGGGTGCGGAATGCTGTCTTCTCGGCCACAGTCTGTCGCTCGGCACGAAGCTTCAGGTCTTCTCGGCCACAGTCATTCCCTCCCTTCTCTACACTTGCGAAACGTGGACCCCCCTAATGGAGCATCTTCGCCGGTTGGAAACATTTAGGCTGGGCTGCCTACGATCCATCCTGAGTTTAACCAGGCTAGATAGTGTGAGGAGCTCACAAATCCTTGAAAGATCTGGACAAATTCCCATCCGTGAGCTCCTCCGGCAGGCAAGGCTGCGTTGGCTGGGCCATGTAGCCTGCATGCCGAGCCACCGCATGCCTAATCAGCTTTTCTTCGGCCGGATCGAGGGGGCTAAACGGGCGTGGCACGGGCGAGAGAAGAGATGGAGTGATGTGGTACAGGAGGATGTGGAGCTGAGTGGACTTGTCGATGACTGGTACCAGCGGTGTCAAGAGCAGCCTATGTGGAGGAGGTTCGTGAAGGACGCTACTGGGCAGTTGGAGGCAGTCGCCCTCCAACAACAACGGAGGGCGGAGGAGCGACGCTCACAACAACGAGTGGAGCGCCGGGTAGCTAAAGCACAGCAAGATGGCACAGTAGGGGGGCACAGGTGGTGCATCAGCCAGTCGTCTCAGTCAGTCGACTTGTGGCATCTGGGTCTGCCCCGTGACCTCCTGCCAGCGGGTGTTCGACACTTCACGTGGCCTCAAGGTGCACATAGCCTGGCACAAGCATCGTGGTGACGTCACCGCCACTTAGTGGCGAATGGCGGTTGTTGTTGTGTGTAAGTCGATGTGTGTGTGTAAGTCCGTGTGTGTGTGAGTCGCTGTGTGTGAGCAAGGCGATGTCTGTATGTAAGTCGATGTGTGTGTGTGGCTCTATGTGCGTGTGTGAGTCCGTGTGTCTGTGTGAGACTATGTGTGTCAGTCGATGTGTGTGTGTAAGTCGCTGTGTGTGTCTACGTCAATATGTGTGTGTGTAAGTCGATGTGTGTGTGTGTGAGTCGATGTGTGTGTGTGCGTCGATGTGTGTTTAGTCCATATGTGTGTGTGTGTGTAAGTCGATATGTATGTGTGTCTTTTTCGCCCGGGCAATGCCAGGCACTTCCCACTAGTATAATATATATATTATACTGGTAGGAACCGCCAGGTTACACCAGCCCACAGGGGATTATTGTATCCATCCGTCGTGCAGGGAGGGGCTGGGTGGGGAGGGTGGGGAGGGGCTGGGTGGGGAGGGGCTGGGTGGGGAGGGTGGGGCTGGGTGGAGGGGGTGGGGCTGGGTGGGGAGGGGCTGGTCACCCCATGATGCCCTTATAAAACTCAACGTTTAACCTACTCACGCCGGCTTGTGCCCGCCCACCACAAACTTGACCATATTCCTATTTTTTTGGAACATCATATTTTTGCCAATTTTTGCGCTAAAAAGATCCCAATAATTGGGCGGTCGACTCAACCCGACATCCTTCCAGGGGTCGATACAAAGGGGAAGCCACTTTGTTCTGAAGTCAATCGTCGTTTTGTCTTATGAAGACTAATCCCCGCCATATGAATGAGGAATTTACACCACTGGCTCTGCAAGGTTGTGAAATCAGATGAGCTCCGATGCTTTGATGGTCATTTGAGCAGCAGGACTTCACGAGTTTGATCCACGTGTCAGCAGGGTGTATTGACTCAATGTAAACCTCCATCAGCAGGGGGACTCGGAGCAGCCCTGAGCGATCAAAGTATTAATGAGCGTCGCTGTGGAGAAGACTGTACAAGTAACACAACCGCTAAGCTGGACAAATGCGGTGCGTGACTACTTCCCCACATCTGCCCCTCGAGATTGAAAAACTCATTTCTTTAGAACTGCGTGTTGTGTGTTTAGTTTCTTGTCCCCCTCCCCCGCAAATTCCGATTAGAACGGTTGGCTACGTACGGTACGAAAGAAGTTGAACATACATATCCATCAAATATACTGTACAAGTCTTTTTTAACAATCGCATCAGCGCCGCGGTCTTCTGGGAGTGGATTTTTTAAGCAGCTTTGGTTAAATATACGCACAACTCTAGGCCAGTTTAATCAACAGTTTGATGATAATGATAATCATGAGCCTTGAAGACTACCAGAGGTGTGATGATGACGACGATGATGGAGGGGAGCAGCTGTGATGAGGTCACTGGTAGTGGTGATGAGTTGTGATGAGGTCACTGGTAGTTGTGATGAGGTCACTGGTAGTGGTGATGAGGTCACTGGTAGTGGTGATGAGCTGTGATGAGGTCACTGGTAGTTGTGATGAGTTGTGATGAGGTCACTGGTAGTTGTGATGAGCTGTGATGAGGTCACTGGTAGTGGTGATGAGCTGTGATGAGATCACTGGTAGTTGTGATGAGTTGTGATGAGGTCACTGGTAGTTGTGATGAGGTCACTGGTAGTGGTGATGAGCTGTGATGAGGTCACTAGTAGTGGTGATGAGCTGTGATGAGGTCACTGGTAGTGGTGATGAGGTCACTGGTAGTTGTGATGAGTTGTGATGAGGTCACTGGTAGTTGTGATGAGGTCACTGGTAGTTGTGATGAGTTGTGATGAGGTCACTGGTAGTGGTAATGAGTTGTGATGAGGTCACTGGTAGTGGTGATGAGCTGTGATGAGGTCACTGGTAGTTGTGATGAGGTCACTGGTAGTGGTGATGAGGTCACTGGTAGTTGTGATGAGTTGTGATGAGGTCACTGGTAGTTGTGATGAGGTCACTGGTAGTTGTGATGAGCTGTGATGAGGTCACTGGTAGTGGTGATGAGTTGTGATGAGGTCACTGGTAGTTGTGATGAGTTGTGATGAGGTCACTGGTAGTTGTGATGAGTTGTGATGAGGTCACTGGTAGTTGTGATGAGTTGTGATGAGGTCACTGGTAGTTGTGATGAGTTGTGATGAGGTCACTGGTAGTGGTGATGAGTTGTGATGAGGTCACTGGTAGTTGTGATGAGGTCACTGGTAGTGGTGATGAGTTGTGATGAGGTCACTGGTAGTTGTGATGAGTTGTGATGAGGTCACTGGTAGTGGTGATGAGTTGTGATGAGGTCACTGGTAGTTGTGATGAGTTGTGATGAGGTCACTGGTAGTTGTGATGAGCTGTGATGAGGTCACTGGTAGTTGTGATGAGTTGTGATGAGGTCACTGGTAGTTGTGATGAGCTGTGATGAGGTCACTGGTAGTTGTGATGAGGTCACTGGTAGTGGTGATGAGTTGTGATGAGGTCACTGGTAGTTGTGATGAGTTGTGATGAGGTCACTGGTAGTGGTGATGAGCTGTGATGAGGTCACTGGTGGTTGTGATGAGGTCACTGGTAGTGGTGATGAGTTGTGATGAGGTCACTGGTAGTTGTGATGAGGTCACTGGTAGTTGTGATGAGTTGTGATGAGGTCACTGGTGGTTGTGATGAGTTGTGATGAGGTCACTGGTAGTGGTGATGAGTTGTGATGAGGTCACTGGTAGTTGTGATGAGGTCACTGGTAGTTGTGATGAGTTGTGATGAGGTCACTGGTAGTTGTGATGAGTTGTGATGAGGTCACTGGTAGTGGTGATGAGGTCACTGGTAGTTGTGATGAGTTGTGATGAGGTCACTGGTAGTGGTGATGAGTTGTGATGAGGTCACTGGTAGTGGTGATGAGCTGTGATGAGGTCACTGGTGGTTGTGATGAGTTGTGATGAGGTCACTGGTAGTTGTGATGAGGTCACTGGTAGTTGTGATGAGTTGTGATGAGGTCACTGGTAGTTGTGATGAGTTGTGATGAGGTCACTGGTAGTTGTGATGAGGTCACTGGTAGTTGTGATGAGTTGTGATGAGGTCACTGGTAGTGGTGATGAGGTCACTGGTAGTGGTGATGAGTTGTGATGAGGTCACTGGTAGTGGTGATGAGGTCACTGGTAGTTGTGATGAGTTGTGATGAGGTCACTGGTAGTTGTGATGAGGTCACTGGTAGTTGTGATGAGTTGTGATGAGGTCACTGGTAGTTGTGATGAGGTCACTGGTAGTTGTGATGAGCTGTGATGAGGTCACTGGTAGTTGTGATGAGGTCACTGGTAGTGGTGACGAGGTCACTGGTAGTGGTGATGAGGTCACTGGTAGTGGTGATGAGGTCACTGGTAGTGGTGATGAGCTGTGATGAGGTCACTGGTAGTTGTGATGAGGTCACTGGTAGTGGTGACGAGGTCACTGGTAGTGGTGATGAGGTCACTGGTAGTGGTGATGAGCTGTGATGAGGTCACTGGTAGTTGTGATGAGGTCACTGGTAGTGGTGATGAGTTGTGATGAGGTCACTGGTAGTTGTGATGAGGTCACTGGTAGTGGTGATGAGTTGTGATGAGGTCACTGGTAGTTGTGATGAGGTCACTGGTAGTGGTGATGAGTGGTGATGAGGTGTGAGGAGGTGTACACATTGTGGTCGTTGTGACACTGATCCGGCTCTGGGGGAGTTGTGGAGAGGAGGCGCTGTGAGTAGGAGGAGGAGGAGGCGCTGATGAGGAGGCGCTGATGAGGAGGAGGAGCAGCAGCAGCAGGCGGAGTCGGCGGCTCCGCCCCGCGCCTGTTGAGATCCCCGCTCCGCGACGCCGCCTCCCCACATCCGAGTCGCGACGTCCACGCGGAGCCATGAACCAGCGGAGCCTCCTCCTCTCGCTCGGCCTCGTCGCGCTGCTCGCCGCCTCCCTCGCCTCGGGTGAGGAGACGCGCAGACGGTGGCGGGCGCTGGCGGGCGCCGTCGGCGTCTCCGTTCGTACCTCCACCTCCCCCCCCCATTCATTATCGCACGCGTGCCGCGCGTCCCCGACTCCCTTGCGTGGTCCTCACGGTGCCCCCCCCCCCTGTGCCCCCCACCCCCCCTGTGCCCCCCCCCGTGCCCCCCCCCCTGTGCCCCCCACCCCCCGTGCCCCCCCCCCCCCAGGCGAGTTTGCTCGCTGTGACCCGTCTCGCTTCCAGTGCCGCAATGGGCGCTGCGTGCCCGAGGCGTGGCGCTGCGACGGCGGCAACGACTGCGGGGACGGCAGCGACGAGACGGGATGCGGTGAGTTGGCGGTGAGGGGTGAGGGCGGTGAGGGGTGAGGGCGGTGAGGGGGTGAGGGTGGTGAGTGTGGTGGAGAGAGTGGCCCGTGGGGTGATGGCGATGGGGTTGAGGGTGAGCTGGTGGTGAGGGTTCACGGTGTTGTTCAGGGGTCAAGGGTGAGCTGTTGGCAGTGAGGAGTGATGGGTCAGGTCTCTTTGAGTCGGAATGGGCTGCTTTGGATAGGGGTGAGTCGTGCCAGGGTGAGTGAGGGGTGAGTGGGGGGTGTGGGTGTGGTCTCTCTCTCTGGGTTAGAATGTGAAGGGGAGCTGTTGGGGTGAGTTGCATGGTGAGGGTGAGTTGGTGAGATGGGGGTGAGTGAGTGGGGTGAGTAGCATGGTGAGTTGGTGAGATGGGGGGTGAGTGTGTGGGGTGAGTAGCATGGTGAGGGTGAGTTGGTGAGATGTGGGGTGAGTAGCATGGTGAGGGTGAGTTGGTGAGATGGGGGTGAGTGTGTGGGGTGAGTATCATGGTGAGGGTGAGTTGGTGAGATAAGGGTGAGTGAGTGGGGTGAGTAGCATGGTGAGGGTGAGTTGGTGAGATGGGGGTGAGTAGCATAGTGAGGGTGAGTTGGTGAGATGGGGGTGAGTGAGTGGGGTGAGTAGCATGGTGAGGGTGAGTTGGTGAGATGGGGGTGAGTGTGTGGGGTGAGTTGGTGAGATGGGGGTGAGTGTGTGGGGTGAGTAGCATGGTGAGGGTGAGTTGGTGAGATGGGGGTGAGTAGCATAGTGAGGGTGAGTTGGTGAGATGGGGGTGAGTGTGTGGGGTGAGTAGCATGGTGAGGGTGAGTTGGTGAGATGAGGGTGAGTGTGTGGGGTGAGTAGCATGGTGAGGGTGAGTTGGTGAGATGGGGGTGAGTGTGTGGGGTGAGTAGCATGGTGAGGGTGAGTTGGTGAGATGGGGGTGAGTGTGTGGGGTGAGTAGCATGGTGAGGGTGAGTTGGTGAGATGAGGGTGAGTGAGTGGGGTGAGTAGCATGGTGAGGGTGAGTTGGTGAGATGGGGGTGAGTGTGTGTGGTGAGGAGCATGGTGAGTTGGTGAGATGGGGGTGAGTGAGTGGAGTGAGTTGCATGGTGAGGGTGAGTTGGTGAGATGAGGGTGAGTGAGTGGGGTGAGTAGCATGGCGAGGGTGAGTTGGTGAGATGGGGGTGAGTGTGTGTGGTGAGGAGCATGGTGAGTTGGTGAGATGGAGGTGAGTGAGTGGAGTGAGTTGCATGGTGAGGGTGAGTTGGTGAGATGAGGGTGAGTGAGTGGGGTGAGGAGCATGGTGAGTTGGTGAGATGGGGGTGAGTGAGTGGAGTGAGTTGCATGGTGAGGGTGAGTTGGTGAGATCAGGGTGAGTGAGTGGGGTGAGTTGCATGGTGAGGGTGAGTTGGTGAGATGGGGGTGAGTGTGTGTGGTGAGGAGCATGGTGAGTTGGTGAGATGGGGGTGAGTGAGTGGAGTGAGTTGCATGGTGAGGGTGAGTTGGTGAGATGAGGGTGAGTGAGTGGGGTGAGTTGCATGGTGAGGGTGAGTTGGTGAGATGGGGGTGAGTGTGTGTGGTGAGGAGCATGGTGAGTTGGTGAGATGGGGGTGAGTGAGTGGAGTGAGTTGCATGGTGAGGGTGAGTTGGTGAGATGGGGGTGAGTGAGTGGGGTGAGTAGCATGGTGAGGGTGAGTTGGTGAGATGAGGGTGAGTGAGTGGGGTGAGTAGCATGGCGAGGGTGAGTTGGTGAGATGGGGGTGAGTGTGTGTGGTGAGTAGCATGGTGAGGGTGAGTTGGTGAGATGGGGGTGAGTGTGTGTGGTGAGTAGCATAGTGAGGGTGAGTTGGTGAGATGGGGGTGAGTGTGTGTGGTGAGTAGCATGGCGAGGGTGAGTTGGTGAGATGGGGGTGAGTGTGTGTGGTGAGTAGCATGGTGAGGGTGAGTTGGTGAGATGGGGGTGAGTGTGTGTGGTGAGGAGCATGGTGAGTTGGTGAGATGGAGGTGAGTGTGTGGGGGGAGTAGCATGGTGAGGGTGAGTTGGTGAGATGGGGGTGAGTGTGTGTGGTGAGTAGCATGGTGAGGGTGAGTTGGTGAGATGGGGGTGTGTGTGGTGAGGAGCATGGTGAGTTGGTGAGATGGAGGTGAGTAGCATGGCGAGGGTGAGCTTGTATATTGAGGTTACCTGTTGACGCTGGCAAGTCGCTCCAGTCGCGTGTGTTTTCACGTCAGTCTCGGTACACTGCTGATGAGACCCACAGGAGAGAAGCTCGCGTGGTTCGTGCCTCCATGTGCTGTTTGAGCATCTGAAAAAAAGGGGGAACGTCTATTTTTTTTATTTTATCATTTCGTGAGTGACAAAAAAGTCCTATATTTATGACTTCTCAACCCTAGCAATGAATACTTTGGTATTTTTAATTGCCTTTGTTAGTGTTCGCCTGTTTGCGTTCTCTGCTCTAACGCTGGTGGGGCAAGTCCATAGAGAAGGCGGTCTCTGGTGTCGGGAAGTCCGTCTCAAAGACGCTGCATGTTCACCACAAGCATGTGTGGTTAATGCAAACTTGATTCCTTGGTGTTTGGATATCTTAACACCTGTGTGGTATTGCCAGCCTATTCTTCTTTTCATTAAATTAGCTTCACTCTAGGCAAATGCTGCTGCTGGAGAATATTTGATCGTGGTGGGGATTGACTAAAATATATTTTAATTGCAGCGATGATGGCGTGAGTGTGGAGTTGAGTTTTTGTTTGGGCAGACATCCATTCATCCATTCATGCGCTGTGGGTAACGCAGTGACGTGGGGGTCGTGGTGGGGGCAGCTGGGGGCTGGTGGGGGGAGGGGCTGGTAGGGGGAGGGGAGGGGCTAGTGGGGGAAGGGGGGGGTCGCTCTGGCGAGTTTCCCGCGCTCGGCGTCTCACGTCAGCCGGGACACGGGGCTCGCTGATTGGCGCGGAGCTCAACAGCAGATGTGACGTGCCCGCTTGGGCGGCCAATGGTACGCGTGGGTGTGTCAGGGGCGTGGTCCCCCCGCGTGCCTCGCGCGCTTGGGGTAGTAGGGGCGGGGTGGGGCAGTTGAAGTTGAAGGGTGATGGGTCCAAGGTGATGGTGATGTGTGTTGTTGGTGATGGTGTGTGTTCGTGATGATTTGTGTTGTTGGTGATTGTTGATAATGAGTGAGCCTTCTGGAATGATGATGGTGAGCGTTCTGGATGATGATGAGCGTGCTGGATGATGGTGATCAGTGTTGTTGATAATGGTATGTGGTTTGGTCTCTGGATGATAGTAAGTGTTCTGGAAGATGACCATTTTGGATGATGGTGAATGTTGTTGGTGATTGTGAGTGTTCTAGATAACGGTGTGGGTCCTGGGTAGACCTGCAAGGTGTGGATCTGATGTTTGTAGGAGGAGAACTTTCCCTCACATTTGTTCTAAATCTGTGGACTCTGTGGAACTTGTTGACCTTTACCTCGTAACAGCCGAACCTGTGACCTCAGCGGTCACATAGCTACAGCCCCACGATGCCCTGACAATCACGGCCTCCGGGCCCGGTAACTCACAGACCGCACACGCCGACGTCTCACGTGGCAGCTAACAATTGGCTCTCAACTCACGTGACGCACGCGCGAGTGCGTCTCTCTGTGAGCAACCTCTAATGTTCAACATCACCTGATTCGAACATTGTTTGGCGAGGCACCCTTTGTGGCCCTACGTGAGCGAGGTTCCATTGCACAACCTCGACGGAGCACAGCTGGCTCGGAGCCGCCCACACAAATTTGACCATGGCAGGGTGGTGATGTGTTCTGAAGATGTATGCTGCTCTCACGTCTGCGGTCGAGCACCCAGTTCCTACCTCACTGCTGCGCCCGATAGAATGCAACGTACAGCAGCAGTCGGGGTGATTGGTGATCCAGCACGCGTTGCTTCACTCCAGTTACTCGTTCGCTCACCGGCGGCCAGTCACCTCCTCATCGCTCTTCTGTCGCCACGACCATGGTTACCGTGTCCTATGAACGTCACTCGTTGATTCCTTCACCCATGTTATGGACTTCGGTGTACCAGACTGACTGCTTTGTCGGTCACATACTGACGCTGTTCAGGTCACAAAAACAACAATAACACCACCACTCACCCATTCACTCACTGAACCATCACGTTGCAGGTGACATTACTCTTCGCTCGCACTGCTCCGCTTTAGATTTCCCTCCCATCGTCTCTCTTTTTTCACCAGCACAAATAATTGCTATTCTCGGTCCAAGACACGAGTTCGTACACTTTTTCTAGCACAACGTTGGTTAGTGCTGCGTGTTTCTGTGAACGAGTGACGTTTTGGGCCTTTGCTTAGCAACTATGTTTCGAACACACGTAGAGGTGGACAGCGCTGTGTCCATTGGCCGCGTGGCTGGAGCTCAAGGTGTGGCATTGTTTCGTGGAGTCTCTATTAATAACCACCCTGGGTGAGAATGGTGATCATAGGGGGCTCAAGTCCAAGCAAGGAGGTTTCACTCTTTGAGTGACGGCGGCTGATGGAGGAAATGTTGCTGCAGGGCAGAGTGGGGCCACGACGCAGCCACTCCCCAAAACTTTTCCCCAGGACCGCCCCTACTTGCAGACCAATGCCCCAATTATAGAGCAGGTGCCCAAGTCCGCCTTGTGTCGCACTAGGACAGCCGTGCCACTGGTGCCCCCCTTTTCAAATGTTGAGATGATCGGATGTGATGTAAAGCGCCCTTCTGAGATGCCCACGCGTATAGGAAGGGGCTGGGGGGCGGGGTGGCTCTATCAAAAACAAAATAATGTTTACTCTGCCCACCCGAACTCTCTCCCCATGTCCTGCAAACTCTGCACCAGTGCACCTCTGCGGTAGCTTCAATTCAGCCACCGTTAGTCCATGAGCCCAGACCGAGATCTCTCACATGAGGTAGCACGGCGTTAGTGGTGCAAATGTCTTAATGTGGCAAATAACCATTTGAGATGAGTGGCCGTGTAAATCAATGTTTGCCTTA